AAAGGGCAATTGTTGTAATATCGTTGCTAACAAAGCAGAACTAATAAAACGAAAAAGTAGTAAAACGAAATGCGATTTTTCACTCGATTCTATTAGTCACGGCCGTGACTCTATCGTAGAAATCGTATTTGTCGATCGAATGCTCATTTGGATTGCTCGTTAAATGTCATAGGGTCGGAAACATTTATGAGAGGAGAAAAAGAGAGAGAAAAAAAAGGAAAGAAAGAAAATTACCAGTCACCCTTTTTCATATATCCCTTTAGTGTTATTATTTACGAAGGAACTACATATCTACTATCTACCTACCTACTTACCTATCTATCTACCTACCTACTAACCAAATTAAAAAAATACCATATTAATCTCTGAAAATGGAACTAGCTCCGATAAAAAGGTTCGAACCCGAAGGGTTCTATACACTTTCCGTCTTCGAAGTTACCCTTTTAACCTGCAGACGAGTTTAACCATGAAAATATTCTGAGAGTTTCAGCGTGAAAAGCATCGGAGCGTCCCTCGAAATATACTCGCCGATCTCTCTTTCTCTCTCTCCTCTCTCTCTCCTCTCTCTCTCCTCTCTCTCTCTTTCTCTCTCCCTCTCTCCCCCAACCGGTCGAGTATCCAACGATGATCCTGTAATACGAGGGACGCAGGTGGCGCCTCGCCATCCGCCAGCATTGATATGCTAATGAAATTTGACGCCCCTGCTGTCGCCTCTCTCTCTCTCTTTCTCATTTTCTACGCGTTGTATACGTATACACGTTTTCTGTGTATCCGTGTTACCTATCCGTCCATTTTATCCATCTCTTTCTCTCTCTCTCTTTTTCTCTTTCCCTCTTTCTTCCCTTCTCCCTCATCGTAGATTTCAATTCTGAGGCTTCGAGACGTCGAGACACTTTCTTCTTTCTCGTTTAACCCCGCACGTTCGACGAGGTTCGGCACCGTGTCGTGCATTCCACCAGGCCATAACGAAATTTCATTACTCTAATGGCCTAACGATGTTGCCGCTGTCCTATTGTGTATATACGCATACACAGACGTAATCACACTCATACAACCGTATACGCAAGAATTCTCGTTGTGCGAGGATCGTTCATGTATTACTGTTTTCGATGCGTATGCATCGTATGTATGCATTGAATTTAACTGATAACGACATTATGAGAGCTTTCGAAAGCATCGAATCAAAGGAATAATCGTGTGAGCGTACGTCGTGAATGTTACGTGTGACACGAGCGTGATCGCTCGCAGATTGATTTTATCAAACGCGAGAGCCTATCTTTACTCTCTCATAGTGAACGAATCTATTCGACAGAAATCCGATTATATACGATGCCCGTGCGATAGTCATTTTATCGTTCTATAAAAGTTCTTTTCTATTTGGATCGACGTACAAACAGTAAATGACAACATGATTTCTTTTTTCTCTCGTTTAATTAATTACTACGATCGTGACGCGTGTCTACGAGAAAGAGAGAAAGAGAGAGAGAGAGAGAGAGAGAGAGAGAGAAAGAGAGAGGAATATACTCGTCATTTAATTGCTGAAAACCATGTTACTCACGTAGTTTTTTATCATTCGTAAACCATTTTGTAACTCAGTCCAAGGGAAATTTCATTTCTGGTGATTTACATGTATTCTCTTTTTCCCTCTTTCCCTCTTTCTCTCTCTCTCTCTCTCTCTCTCTCTCTTTCTTTCTTTCTTTCTTTCTTTCTTTCTTTCTTTAACATTCCTTTTAGTTTTGAAAAAAGCAAAAACAGAAAAGAAAAAACAGCCAAAGTAATATGAAATTCGGTCGTTTGTTAACGCTCACCGTGACGAATGCTGAGTGGACTTGCAGGACTACGAGGATGCTCGGAACTCGTTTCGTTTTGTGATTGCTGCTGCTGATGCTGCAGATCGGCAGAAGTACCAACGGTCGTTGCTCCGTTCATGATGCTCTCTCGATGATCATCGAATCTCACCAGCAGAACTTCGCCTATAACGAGACAAGAATTAGGAAAACCTCGAAATTTGAATTTCTTTCGAGAAATTTGATCTCATAGTGAATATGTACAACATTGTATATCTCGAAACAATTGTCCAATCGAACGATTTAAACGTCTAATGGGTATTGCGTTGTTATTGTTTTTATAACTTCATTTAAATTTTTGATCACGTTATAGAGTTCGAACATCTGATAGTTTCCAACCTTGAGAATTTTATCGTTCTAAAACTATCTTTTTAATTCGATTACATTTTATGAACACTGGTAATATTTTCTATTACATATTACGAGTACTTTTAGATATTATTAAAATGTATTAGATTATTTTTACGATATAAATTTCCATACTTTTCACATATTTTTCTCACAAATAAATTCATTGTCAAGTTATCACTTTTACAACAATCATTATCCTCGCGTCATATTTCCGAACATAAGATTTCAACAGATTTTTCTTTTCTCTTCATAGATTGATTTTCGATAATCGGTGAGTAATACGAAAAAATATAGTAAAAAGAATCTCGATAGATATAAGAAAAGTAAATAAATATACTCACCAAGTCCCGGCTCGCCGAGAAAATCTCTGATCCTTTCCGTGATTCTTCCGTTTTTCTTACCCCTTATAATTCAATTAAACACTCGTTCAACACGCGATTTAACGATAACAAGATATTCTTATCGCGCTTATATGCAACGAGCGAGCGAAGTGAACCAATTGCACCGAATGTCCGTTAAGATGTGAGGGAAAGTTTGCAAACGATTTTAAGAGAACAGAGAGGCGGAAGAAGAACGGTAAAGAGGAGAAGGAAAAAGACGTTGATAGCTAAGGAAGAAGAGAAAAGATAGAAGAAGAAGAAAAAGAAGAAGAAGAAAGAGAAAGAGAGAGAGGGGGGAGAGAGAGAGAAGGAGAGATTAGGAAAGAGTAGGCTAACGATGAGCAAAGCAAGCGAGTCTCCAACTAAGTTCTCTCGGCGACTAACAAGACGACGAGCTTCGCATCTCTCGTGTCTTCGCTTTCCTAGTCGACTCGTTGCTATTCGTCGTGTTCCTCGTTGTCGATGTAGAACGTCGACATCGTGCTGCCAGTTGAAGTCTAGTATATCCGTCGGTTTCTATCGGTTCTCATACTCCGAATGTGTGGGTGCGAGCAACAGAGCGAGAGAGAGATAAAGAGAGAGAGAGAGAGAGAGAGAAAGAGAGAGAGAGAGAGAGAGAGAGAGATAAAGAGAGAAAGATAGAGACAGAAAGAGAGAGAGAGAGAGAGAGATAATGTGTGAGTGTAAGAGAGATAGATAAAAGAGGTAAGAGTGGGCTCTCGCGCCGATTGGTCGACCGACACTTTTGAAGGCGGGATCAGGAGGCAACGGCGGAAAAACGACAAAAACGAGGAAGGCCAGGATTTAACCTATAGCCAGCACGTTTGACGCGCGACGCGAGCCTTCTGCAAGTCTGACTAGTAGGACGCCTGCGCACCACCTATAATCTGCCACTGCGCTAGGACTCTCGCTCATTCATCCTTCTCCCCTCTCTACTGTTTCCCCCGGCCTCTCGCCCCGTGGTACAATTGTTGATCGTTGGTTACGCTCTGCTCCTCAATCCCTTCCTCCCACCACTTGTCCTCTTTCTCCCAACACTCCCTCCCTTCCATACAAACCGCTTCTATCCGATAGGTCCTTTCCGTACTGCCTCTCGACGGCCGAGTGGGGGATCGCAACTTCGAATATCGGAGGAGCGAGGGTTGTTGGTTGTTCGATCGAACGACGAGATCGACGGGCAACGATCGGAGCAGCGACCGTCAAACTCCGATATTTCACTAATACTACTACCATCACCACCATCGTCACCACCACTTCTACTACTACTAATACTAATACTGCTACTGCTACTACTATTATTATTACTATTGTTATTACTACTGCTACAACAACTACTACTATTACTGCTATTACTACTATTGTTATTATTACTCTTTTGATTCTCTCTGACTTCTCGATCTTTTTTATCTAAACAAACTTCACGAAAGATTGATAAATAAATAAATACTAATTCATAAATATACGAAAGCACATAAATAAATCAGATAGTTATTCCATTGATAATTATTGTTTTTAAATCGTAATAATTTGATAACTCTATTTGTTTTTTACAATCTTATAGACGAAATAATTCACTCTTGTGGGACGCAACAGCATCGATCAGACCAGTCACGTTCATCAACAGATCGCGTTTCCTGTAAAGTAAAGTTCTACGGTAAGCTGAGAATATCTATGTTGGTAAGTAGTGGTGATGTTGGTGATAGTAGTGGTTGTGGTGGTTGGTGATAAAGTCGTTTCGAAGGGGATGTCCGCCATGCTGGATTTCTGCCTTCGGACGACACTCGGTGGCTTTCCGGTAATCGTTGCCGGGGATGCAGCGAACTTCCTCCTCCCTCTGCCAACGAGGGAAGGATCGTGGCCACGCCCCTGAACTACTAGTCAGACCAATGACGCCAGGACATCGCGACGTTACCGTCCACCAATAGGATTACCCTCTGATACGGTCTTTCGCTTGTCAGCGATCGCTTCCTCCCTTCTTCTCAACCCCCACACCCTCTACCTACTATTTCCTCTTCCTTCTCTTGGCAAAGCACCGGGGTGCTTTTCAATTTCGGCTCTACCCTTCCTCCTCATAAAGAGGTCGAAGCACCTATTCGCGCGCGCACCATCGTTCGCTGTGTTTCGCACACTTCTATCTAGAATATCTATCGTATCTCTCTCTCTCTCTCTCTCTCTCTCTCTCTCTCTCTCTCTCTCTCTCTCTCTCTCTCTCTCTCTCTATCAATCTATCTATCTCTGTCTCAATCTCTCTATATCTCTATATTTCTATCTCTTTTCTACGTCAATAATAGAAAGAGAGAGGTAGAGCACGCTTTACGCCCTCCCGACACCGGATAGCTCACTCTCTTGATTCGATGCTCGCTTCAGGAAGGAGAAACGCTATAGGAAGAAGGAGGATGCTCTTATTTATCATGATAGCGAATTATGTTCCTTCTATAATATACCAGCGAAGAAAAATGTTGCCTATAATTTCGATAGCCGATCGTCCTTCGAAATCTACTTATTCTCTCTCTCTCTCTCTCTTTCTCTTTTTTTTTTCTTTTTCTTTTTCTTTTCTTTTTTGTTCTTCAAATTTTATATAATACTTTCTTTTGTTTTTCGGAAAAACTATACACAACATAACAATTACGAGGTAATACGAAATAGCGATTCACGATGACGTTTGTGCTGATATTTTTTTTAAGATATTCTCCATCTCTCGACATATGTCTGCGAATACGTTTTCATCATCATTCTCGGCATTTATCACAACGAGTTTTTTCTTGTAATGACGTAATATGGGTTTATTCATCTTGTGAAAAATTCTTATGCGTTCTTTAAGCTTCTCCTCGCTCTCTTCGAGTCTTTCAGTCATCGTTACTGCCTTAGCCATTGCTCTGTCACGTAGTACTGAATTCCTCGCTGATAAATAGATCAACAGATCGAATGGTTTCACCTATCGATGTACAGATTTATCGATGTAACGGATTAATACGATTAAATGTTGAAAATCTTGATCGTTTGATGATCGATTTAAGAATCGATTCAAGATAATAAAGTCAATCGTATCGAAAGTAATACCTGTCTTTCAAACATTTTTCCCTGTTCCTTTTCACGCGGGAATCCTGTTAGAAAGAATCCTTTTGCTGTGTTAAGATGCTTTAGCATTTTCGTTTTAATTAGTTCTATTAAAACGTCGGCTGGTACTAATCGACCTTGAGACATATATCTCGCTAAAACGACTCCTTTTACTGATCTCGTGTGAACCTCGTCGCGAAGTATTTCAGAACTTGATATAATTAGCCAGTGAAATTTTTCTGACACTTTTTTCGATTGCGTAGCTAAAAGAAAAAATTATTATTTATACATTACAGTATAGGAAAAGAACGGAGCTAATCACAATGATACTAACTCTTTCCTGAACCTGGTCCACCGATCAGACATATCATTGGTAAATTAGCCTCTCTAACAGCCGATGCATCGATTCCGGTCTCTTTCGGAAGAACATCCTCTAAGGGATCCCTCGGTCTAAGGCAATTGCCCATAATATTGCACTTTTCGGATGAGAAACTTCGTTATAACACGTTTATCTTTCCTGTATCAATAAATAATTTTATAGGTTTGAATAAAATGACAGATCGATGAACGTGAAGTATGTTACATAAGACTTTCTTTATAACACGATACTCGCAAAAAGTATTGTATTGATATTATTTTATATGATATTGTTGGATGTTACATGCTCGAAGGTCGGACGTTTCTTTTTCTTTTATACCTACGGTCGGTAAAACAGAATTGTAACGCATACGTAAGATGAATCATTTGGATTACCATTGGTTGATACGCATTTGTCAAAAGCTTTATTATCGATATCTACAATCGCGATAAAATTCGCAAATTGCGTGCGACGATATTAAGCTTCAATTAGTGATATATTAACAATAAGTTTAGATATAATACTAATATATTAAATATGCCATGCATTTCATTATTAATCATGAATCAATGATCATTTAAATAGAAATACAAATAGAAATAAATCAAATCATGATATGCTACTATGAAGTTAGGAAGATACACTTTTTAGACTTACAAGTTAAATATAACATGAAAAGCGTATAAAATATTGAGTAAACGATATTTTAAATGAATACGAATCAGGAATAAAAGACTTTTTCATGAAAAGTGAACATTCGTCGAATTTGTAATGTCTTCTTACTAAGAAAAGGAAAAGTTCAAAAAATAAAAGAGAACAAATTCAAAAATGAGGTTACAAATATATTGCCTTTACAAAATGTTGTCCATTTTAGAAAAACATATATTTCGCAATGAATTCCTTGAAAGCAAACTTTTACCAATGAAGTTATTGAAGAGAGAAGGTTCAAATGATTGTCTACCTCGAGATCGAAGCGAATTACATTGCATATACGAGTGTCGCGTTGCCATAATCGGGTTAGGAGGTGTTGGAAAATCTTTGGCGCATTTGTTGAAAATGTTTCCTGGTACATTGACGGAACTTCGACTGTTGAATAGAAGCGATCCTTCAGGAATAATTGAAGAATTAAATCACATACCTACAAAACTTCCTATTTTTGGTATGTGCGGAATGGAAAATCTTTGCAAAGGTCTAAAAGATGTTGACATTGTGGTGATATCGGCTGGTTACGCGAGAAAGACGGATGATTCATCACGAGAAGATCTTTTCTCGGTCTGTATGTTGAAAAATAAATAAATCGAATGAAATGTATGATTATATTCCTATATTGATTTCATAGGACAACGCAAAGATTTGTGCGAACATATGCAAGGCCTGTTCCGAAGCTTGTCCTACAGCATTAATAGCAATAGTTGCGAATCCGATAGATACCTTGGTACCTTTAGCTGCGCATATTTTAAAGAAACATGGCTCCTACAATCCAGCAAAATTATTCGGAGTCTGCGAATTGGATCATTTGAGAGCGCGACATTACTTCGCCGACTTAATTTGTGTGGATCCAAAATGGACTTATGTTCCCGTAGTAGGTGGTCATGGGGAGCACACTACAGTCCCATTGTTCTCAAGATGTCGGCCTAACATAGAGTTGACACCGGAGGAGATGATGAATCTCACCAAGGCTGTTAGAATAGCCGGAAAAAATATCGTGAAGGTAATTAACTCTCTTAGTTTATTACTTATTTCTTGGGATTTTATAAAAAGAAAAGGAAAAAGAAAAAAAATATATGTATGAAGATAAAAAGAATCTATTGAAAGAATAATCTTTTTATCTTTAACGATCTTTCCTTACAAATGCGATGATTAATAAGTGGTGTATTGGCGCCAGCCTTGAAGCTTTCATAATCGATACCGGTAATGCAATGAAGTTATAACGATCGTTTCGAATCACATATCCATCGATCATTATTCATAGCCTTGATATTCGAACGAGATAATAACGTTTTTGTTATTGATGGTAATGAAAATGTTTCTTGACCGTGAGATCTTTTTTATAGTTTCTAACAAATCTTATTGATATTTCAGATGAAAAAATCAAGTAGCACATACTCCATGGCTTCAGCAACCATGTATTTCATTCACAAACTTGCCCGTGCCATTCACCACGAGCCAAACATAGTTATTTCCGCATATACGGAATCTCGCGTGACCGGGGCTCATTTTTTTTCAAACGAATTGTTACTTGGGCCAGCTGGGATCGATAAAAATTTGGGTTTCGGCAGAGTTAATGTATTCGAGCAAAAACTTATCGACGATGCGGTCAAGGTCCTACGGAAGCAAGTCGATATGGTAGAAGAGTTCATTGATAAATTCGACGTTTAAAATTAATCGTAAAGTTAATTCTCATCGTTTTTCTTTGAAGAAAAAGAAATTAAGAAAATCAATGGATTAATTGTTCTCCTTCGCTTTTCTTTTCTTTGTTTTTTTCCACGTTGTTCAAGTATGAATTATTAACAAATAATCGTCCGAATATATCTATTTCTATGAATCAAAAAGATGTCCTAGCGATGATTACAATACTATTCAATGAACTTTTTGTATTTTTATTTAGAATAGCATTTATCATTTAAGTCGTAATAAGAATCGAAACTTATAATTCCGTTTACGAGCATAAAACGTACGACAAAGTTAATGATTTGCGTTCTGTCGTCATACCACCTATCAAACGAGCAATTCACTCGCCGCTTGGATTTTCAAATGAGATAAGAGTTAGAAATGATTTCCACGTCGGTACGCCGGACTCGATGTACCACTAACGTACGTATAACGTTAAAAGCGGAGGCGTGACATACGCAACGGTTCGGTTATGTTGTAAATTAGTCATATGCCAATAAGCGCTTAAATTACACCTAGTTCTTAGGCCAAAACAAATTAGATGGAAACGTCACGATCTTTAGTTATCTTGCTTGATCGATGAAAAGACACTACAATTATTGGAAAGTCACGTTTTCTCAGTTTGTTCTTCTTTTTTTCTTTTCTTTTTTCTTGTTTTATTTTTATTTGATAATTTCATACGTTTTCTCGCAAGAAAAATATTTTTCAACTCGAATTTATTGCAAATGCCGGTCATATTGATTTCTAAGTTAACGATCTATGAACCTGAAGAGATTAGAATATCGCAGTAGATTTTATATCTTGAAATATGATCGAATTAGCAATATTTTAGATCAATTGTGGAAAGCTGACACGCATGACCGACGATCAGTATAAAAAATCAACAGGTTAACAAGGTCGAACGCGAAATATCGCGTAAATCGTCGACGTAAAAATGACGGAAAGCAGGATTAAAAGGAAGCGAGATAGTATTTGAATAAGATTAGAATTACAAACAGAACTATATTCTCGTTGATATTGTAACGCTTTGCTTTGGCGTACGTCGAATGGTAATGCGAATGAGAATCGTTAAGCTAATCGTTATACGCTCGTCGATTCGTAAAGTTACCATCGTCATAATCCTCAAAAGCTACGATTAAGCTCGGTTTATTTGTATTAAATTTTCATGAAATACAACTTCTTAGAATTGGACAAATGTAAGGCAGTCGAATTTCATCAAAGAAGTCGAAGTACAGTTTCTTGCTCTCTGCCTCTCTTTCATTCTCTCTCTCTTTACATATACTCTATCTCTTTCTATCTTTATAAGACAAAATAAAGATAATAACGCGATCACGATTAGCCGTGAGCCACTAGTATCGTGCATTAGATATCTGGAAATTAACGATCGCAAAATACTTTTAGAGATTAATTTCAAAGTACCGATAAGCAAGTTAGCGAACCAGTTTTGAATGTTTCGATTGGAACACTCTGAGACTCGTCGAGAAACCTTATTTCGCTAGGATTAACGATCACTATGCATGAACAAAAATTTATCTTTATCGGGAATATTGAAAGGAGATGCCGAAACAGGCGAAGAGCTCGATCGTCATTGTCGTCTTGGTCATTTTGGTCGTCGTAGATGTTTGAAACCTTCGAGATCTCTGGTTGTTCTACACTCTCTTACTTAGATAGATGTATACGTTTAATTCCATACATTTACGATTTTCAACGTCGCATATCTCGAATATTTCAAATTACGTCCTTCGAACCGATCCATTTATATTACTCGATTCCTCGATACCTACGCGTTTCTGTTTTCGATCTTCCTCTCTCTTCAGGAAGATGCCGTGCGATAATTTTCTTTTGTGCTATATCGAGTAGCTATATCAAGGTAATGGAGATGGTTGGTCCTAAGGCATAATAGATATAATTTTCTCTATTTCTCTTTCTCTCGTTCTACGTACGCGCATCCATCGCATCGATCCATTTATTCGAGCCACTCCTTCTGTTCGATGTATCACCGTGCGTTCGATGCTGATGCAACTTTATTAATGACATTAAACAGCGCTAGACCTACTCCCGTTCGAGAGAAGAAATAGACAAAGAGAGAGAGAGAGAGAGAGAGAGAAAGAGAGAGAGAGAGAGAGAAAGAGAGAGAGAGAGAGAGAGAGAGAGAAATAGGAACGCATAGAAGAAGAATGACTTCGTTCGTATATTTCCTTTTTCAAGTAGAAAGACGAATGAATGTTTGCACTAACAATCTCTAAATTATAGATTAAGGAGTCATCGAGTTCTTTATCAAATTCGCTAATTTCGAAAAGTCAACTCACGGGGTGGTCCGAAGAGACGAAGGCTTCGAACCAGATTTTCAGGTCGCGATCGTAAAGAGTTAATCGGAATTCGCGATTTTCAGAATTTCGCATCGAAGAAGTATTTTTAACAGATCGCTCATACTCTAATATTAAACCACGACCGGCCGGTCGAGTGGACGTAGAACGGATTCCGGCGATAAGTCCTTCTCGAGATGCCATTAGAGAGCCGGACTATACGGCGCTTATTTCTCTATGGCTTAATAAATAACAGTCTCGAATCTCGAGAAAGAAAGAGAATAAAAAAGGGAGGGGGCAGAGAAAGAGAAAAGAAAAAAGAAAAGAAAGAAAGAAACAAAAAAAACCACCATAAAAGAACTGGAGCAAAGAGCGTCATACTGTTCCTCGTTTCCCGAGCTACTTGGATTTGACATGAGAGGGAACAAAGAAGTAGGACACGTTCGAGATTTCGAGATTATCTTCAAATCCATGACAATGTTCTGTCAGTTGTCTAGTTATTTTCTTTCTTTTTCTTTTTTTTCGTTTTATTCTTTGTTTTCTTTTTCTCTTTGTTCCCTCCTCTTAACGACTATCTAATTGATCGTTTCGATCGAGCGAGACACCATACCTATTTTCGCATACGACTAACGCTAAACTTTTTTCACCTTGGCATAATTATGGTTCGACCGTGTGCGAATTATTCCACGTCCATATCCATCGATCCTTGCCTCTGCGCAGGGCGACGCTGACCCGACATTAATGATCCTAATGAATCGTGTCATCGAGTCGTTGACACTATGAATGGAGGTAGCAAAAAACGGAAGTTATCTCTGCGCTTTATTCGATTATCATGGTGCAATGCCTATAACACGACTATAAATATGCTTGCGCGTTCATTTTTCCTTTCATGTCGAAGACGAAGAGATAGATCGATCTTCCCTTTTATCGATTTCCCTCCCTCCCTCTTTCTCGCTCTTTCTCTCTCTCTCTCTTTCTCTTTCTCTCTCTCTCTCTTTCTCTCTTTCTCTTTCTCTCTCTTTCTCTCTCTCTCTCTCTCTCTCTCTTTCTCTTTCTCTCTCTCTCTCTCTCTCTTTCTCTTTCTCTCTCTTTTTCTCTCCCGATATCTTAATGAACAAGATTTTACAAATTATTCGAAAAGAAGTTTTCAATCCCGATACGAAGAGGAAATATGCACGTTCGAATGACTTCTAGGAATGCAGCAATTTAACTTGGCGCAGCTAATTCCATCTCAGTCGGTACGTCGATAATTTGTTCCAGAGCTTGTTGCTCTGCTGCTACGTTGACGAAAGATGACCCCCGTTGATCTTCATATTTTCTGCAACGAGACTTCCTAACGTCGATCGAAATCGTTTTCCTCCTTTGCTCCAACAAAATGTGCTTAGCTCAGCATCTTTTGTGGTTCAAATATTAATTTTTCTTTTTCTTCCCCCCCCTCTCTCTCTTTCTCTCTCTCTTTTTCTCTGTTTTTTTTTTCTTTTTTTTTTATTCCAACGAATTCTTCCAACGAAGGATAAACTCATCAATCATCTTATATCTCCCAATGAAACTTCTTAACGGCGTTCGAACTCACATGTTGTTTTTGTTTTCATTTAGCTTTTTATAAATTTCGAATGGTTGGTATACTTCAGATTTTCATTTTTCTATACTAACGAAGTCTTCCAACAAACATAGTACTCGTTGCTCGAATCTTATTCGGATAAACATTCACTAATTTTAGTCCCATAATCCACGAGCTGTGAGCTAAAACGTAGATCCAGAGATTACATCAACGTTTCCGGATCGAGAGGAAAGCAGACAGGATGATTCGATCATATCCATTTGTTGAAAAGTGCTTTCTTATGATGAGAAAAGTAAAAAGAAGAATAAAAGAAAAAGAAAAGATAAGAAAACGATGAAATAAATAAAAGAAGAAAAGAATGAAAGAAAAAAGGAAAAAGAAATGAGACGTGAGGAGTAAGCGATCGTAATAAAAATTTCCTCGTTATAAGAAGATGACTGCAACGCGTTATCCTGGTCATCAGATCCCTAGTCAATGATCTCTCATCCTTAAGGTGATGGGCATAATTCTGCCCATGTTGAAGAAGAGTCTGAAAAGAAAAAGAAAATGAAGACAGAAAAAAGAAGAAAAAAATGAAAAAGATAAGAAAATCACATTTTCAAGCGAACGACGATTCTCAAGTGTCACGTTATAATCAATCCATTATGCATTGTCCCATCCGAGTAAAGAGACACGAAGAAAGTTAGATGTATATGTATGTGCTTGTGGAGGGAAGGGGGAGGGAAGGGAAAATCGAAGGAAAAGAATTTTATTATACTATCATAGGTGCATTTCTAGTTCCCAGTGTTAGACAGTATAGTAATCGGAAACGTCTCGTTGCCAGGTGACAGTGGCGTCGTGACAGTGGCGCCTTAAGCCACGTTCATACCGCACTCCTCGTTCGGAGTGCTCGCCGCAAGTATAAAGTTGCTCCTCCATCGAGGGGAGCCGTCAGTTCTAAACGACACCTCTGGAAAGTACGCCGGAAGAATACGCCTCCCTATCTCTCTCTTTCTCTCTCTCTTTCCCTCTTTCTCTTTCTCTCTCTCTCTCTTTCTTTCTCTTTCTCTCTTTCTCTCTCTCTCCCTTCCTTTCTTTAAAAAAATTACACACATACAGACACGGACACAGATACGTGACGTTACACATTAAACATTTTCCTTCCTATTTCATTAAAAGAATTCATTCCTTCGTTTAAATCAGTTCGTTCCGTGTTTTTGATCATTATTAAAATAAATTCGCGAGGAACAATATGTCGTTGTTCACTTTCGAAATTAGTTAAGAAAAAAGTGATTCGATGATCAGTCAAATGCGTAAGAGTTGATGGTGAACGTGCCAATTTTCGGAGGGACAATCCTCAACATTACCAATCCCACGTATCTACTATTCCAATCGATATCAGCTCTTAGTAGATGAGCTCTTAAATGAGAAGTTTCGACGAACGAGAAGTGGAGACGAACACCGCAAAACCCGTCGTGTGACGTGCGAATGCATGAAAACCGCGTGACAGGATGATATCCATCTAGTACTTTGATTTGCATCGAATCGTTTCTACGGTGTCACCGGTGTTGTTGCGGCTCGATGCAACAGGTTATTTCTTCGGAATACATATGTCACGGTATTACTGTATTTCCACAATCGTCTCTACATGAAAAAGTGTTAATTAAGATAATTCACATATACGCGAATACGATTTTTGTTTAATTCGATTTATGTATATATTAATCGTGTCGCGTGACATATCGTAAAATACTTTTTTGTGCCATTCCATAAATTCGTAGGTATTTTTTTTTCTATTTTATTTTTTGTATTTTTTATTTCTTATTTATTTTTTTCATTAATATACACATGCACATACGAGCTAACGTAACGTAGGTAGGTAGTTTATGATTAGAAGGAAGAATAGTATCTATCTCTCTCGTTTCTCCTCTTCTTTCTCGCTCTCTCTTCTGTTCCAATGTCATCTTCAAACTTGATCTATTTTTTACACTCGACCTTGACTTTGCAATCTCGAGAGTTTCGGGCACCGAGTTTTCTTCCTCACAAAGGGAAGATCCAACTCGACTTTGTGGGTTATCGTATCGCGGTAAAATGAGTATATGCCGAATCGACGGCACCGATCAAAAGCTTTCTCGCGAGTACATTCGTTGCACGAATCGAACGATATCTTATCCGTGTGGCGATTGCACGCCACGAATCGCCTTTTTCTTTTTAAAAGAGCCGAGTACGAGGCATATACACACACACACATATATATATGAACATGTTAACTCAGCTAACGTATACATAGGAAACTTATTAATAGTTCTCGACGTCGCGCTCAACGGATAATCATAAAAATAAACGGCATTTTAGTCGTCTTGTTGAGAGGATTCTCTTTCTCTTTCTCTCTCTCTCTCTCTCTCTCTCTCTCTCTTTCCCTCTCTATCTTTCTCTCTCTTTAACATGATTCGTTGCGTTTGCACATTAGAAAATTGTTGAGAAACGACGATACAAACTTTCGACGGGAACACCAAAGATAAAAGCATTCTCGCAATTAATATCAAAGATCGGGAAATAGCAATAATAAATTAAGAAGATATTAAATAGCCAAGCCAATTAAAAATTTTCTCACATCGCTAGTCAGAAAGTTCTCTCCTCTTCTCCGTTCATTTCGGTTTACCAGTTGGCACACTATGTTGCGTGTATGTACCAAGATAGACGGTTTAATTAATTTACAATCTGTTTTGATACGCGTGCTTCGCAGCTAATATCCGCGTAACGAAGTGTAATTTTACGTGCGTTCGTCACGCGCTTAACATATGTAGATGTAGATACGCGTACACATATATATATATATATATAAATTATATATATATAATATTATATATATATATATATATATATATATATATATGTATACACACATCGGCAACAGGATGAATGGAAAGGAAGAGAAAGACGAAAGATTTTAATCGAGCTCACGTGAGCCAACTAATTATCGTTCGAACTACTATTAAAAGTATGCAAATCATCGATAAATAATAATAGAGGAGGAAGTAAGTACATACTCGTATGTTTAATATATAGATGTTCGAACGTATGCCAAATACACGATTCAATTCTTTCCTTTCCCGTTGCTCGAGTTATTACCTCGTATGTTCAGGCTGTATTAGAATTAGTTGATTCTAAGGCCCGCTGACAACTGGAGCATGAAAAAGCGTTAGACGCGTGCGCTATGTAACGCACCCGCAAGTTGGTATATGCACGCAATAACGAACGACAATCCCGACACAAACGAAGGGAGACATACGGTACGATCGAGGAATCTCGATCGCACAAAAGGAAGATCACGTGATCGAGATCTCTCGATCCACGAAGAACGAATTCTTCGCAATGCATCACCTCCATGACCTACTAATAAACGTATACTACAAATAAATTACCCACGAAACTGCAGCGACATTTACGCCGATTTCTTATCTCGACATTTCTTATCTCACGAATAGTGTATATATATATATATATATATATATATATATATATATATATATAGTAGAATAGGTTAACTTTTATCTTTACTATCCGGCCTATCGTCGCTTGAGTTTCCCCTGTGCCTCCGAATATTCATGATCGTTTTTGTTAAGGAGCAGCCGGTGTCGCTGTGAACTCGAAAAAGATTTAAAAAAAGAAAAACAAAAAACGAAAGAAAAAAAAATAAAAAGGTAAAAAAGAAACAAATTCTTCCGAATACTCGACGAACGCGAGAATTGAGATCGAAAGGAATGTGATGTGATAATTCACGAGTTATTTCGATATTTTTATCGATGGATATCATTCGATATAATCTCCAAGAATCTAAAGAAGAAAAATTATCGAGAAAGGATGGATCGTGATTGAATTTGAAAAGAAAGTTTTCTTGTTTTTTCTTCTTCTTCTACCCCTACTTCTACTACTACTACTACTATTACTACTACTACTACTACTACTACCACTACTACTACTACTACCAATACTACTACTACTACTACTACTACTACTACTACTACTACTACTACTACTACTACTACTACTACTACTATTACTACTACTACTACTACTTCTTCTTCTGCTGCTGCTTCATCGTCGTCATCATCCTGTCGTCCATCGTCGAAGATGCAGCGACTACTCGGACTATTCTCTTCTCTTCTCCTAACTTTAACGGTAAGTTATGCATTCGCGGCACACTAAAGGTATCGAGCTTTGATTTATTGCACCATTAAGGTACTCTTCGTTCGTCCCCTTATGACATCAGTGCCAATATCATATATCAAGCGAATGATCATGAAACTTGCCATGTCGATGTCTAACTCTACATATTTTTTCCCTATGTACTCTATATTTCTTTCTTTCCTTCTTTTCTTTGTCGTATCTACATACATACAGGATAATAATATTAGAGACTTCTCGTCTATCGTCTATAGATAATAAATAAAAAATCTCAAATAATAAATAAAAGAGTTTTCTTTGCTTCTCATTCTCATCTTTATTACGTAAAAAAGGAATGTTCATTATAAATAGCTAACAAAAAGAAAGAGAAAGAAAGAGAGAGAGAGAAAATGAGAGAAAGAGATAGATTTCCTCACTTTTTCATCATTTAACTCCTCTCGATCTATCTTAGCATGTTCATACGTTCGTTATACTTTTTTCGGACGAGCAGTAAAATCGCATTCGCATTCGCTTCGACTATAAAAGCTGCCGTTATTGCGACCCGTAACACGATCCTCGTTTTATGAAAGAGAGAATTAAATGAGAGAGAGAAAAAGAGAGAGAGAGAGAGAGAGAGAGAGAGAGAAGAGAAAGTTGAAACAGAACGAAAGAAAGACAGAAAGAGAAAGGGTAGACTTACCAAAAATAGCCATACGACGATAAGACCCGTGTGTCACGGTCAAATATTATAATTTGTAAGCTTCTCGAAAATCTTGCTCGGTCGTTCTTTTTTCCTACCACATCACGACGACGTCCAAAGAGCAGACTCGTCGAAAGACAAATTACAGGACCCACGTTGCCAGTGGTTGGTCTTCCTCTCTCTTTCTCTTTCCCTCTTACTTACACGTTTTACACGGCTTACTTGACGCTTAAAGCGCCATGCCATATTTACTTCGTTACTCTTCCAAAGCGTACTGGAAAGTATTCTTTCTCTATCTCTGTCTCTCTCTCTCTTTCTTTTTCTCTCACGATAAGATCTTTTCCTTCTACTTTTTTCTTGTCCTTCCTCATACTTTTGTATTTCTTTCCTTCTATTTTTCTTTTTTTTCTACTTGGTTTCTTGCTCTCTCGCGAAATAATCCTCAACGATGGCTTCTCTTTTACCAGCCAATAAAAAGAATCACGGGATAAGACAGTATGTTTTTTTCATTTTTTGATGATAAGAAGCTTTCTTTCTCTCTCTCTCTCTCTCTCTCTCTCTCTCTCTCTCTCTCTTGTCCTCCCACCCTTTCTCTTCCTCCCTCTCTCTCTCTCTTTCTCTCTGACACAGGAAGATTTATCCAGAAAGTTCTACATCGTGTGGAACGCGTTCCCGTGGCTAAATGTTACGAGTAATGCGTATTCTTAGACACCGACGTTGTATTGGCAGGAACTCTCATACTTTTTTTTAAAGAAAAGAGAGATAGAGAAAGCGGATGAAAAAATGAGTGAGCGAGATAAAAACAGAACGAGACAGAAAGGGACAGAGAGAGTCAGAGAGAGACCCACAAATACAATCACACATATAAAAGCATAAAAAGAATATTTTGAAAGATAGAAAGAAACATTTTTTCCGTTGAATAAATCAGAGCGTGGGCAAACGGCGACGCACCTGTTTCGAACGAGACTATCCAAACAGTAGCGTTCTCGATATGGAGCACTCAATGTTCGGTTTTAAGCACGTGCAACGAGATAAGCGGTTTTCGCACGTAATGCATTCCGGGGCCCAATTAAAACGTGTCTATTTTGCATGCTTACCTTTTACTTCTATTTAAAAGAAAGGATTCTTAAACACGTTTCATCCCAATAGCTTTTTCTTATTGTCCCTTTTTTATTCGCTTTTTTCTTTTTTTTTCAAAACTTTCCTCCAGAAATTACCGCGTCGGATCATTTTCATTTTGCACATTAAACGTATTCACCTTTCTCGTTCGCGTCTCGGTCAATGTTAAAAGTCATATTGAATTTGCCGCAAGATTATGCGCTGGTCTTCTCTCTCGCTCTCTCTCTCTTTTTCTTTCTTTCTCTCTTTCTCACTTTATTAAACACATACATATGCATGTACAAAGATTTTTTTGCTATATTTCTTGTTTAAAAGATATTATCATACATACCGGAACATCGATTTCATCCGATTAGTTCTTCAAGGAAACGGAACTCACATTGATTTAATTGCTAGGAGTATCCCTTTCATAGACATCAGATCGATATCTCGAACCTTCTGTCAAAACATCGATATTATTCTAATTGAAGAGAAAGAAATAAAATGAGAGATCGACTTCGATCCAATACGAAACTCTTCGACATTTTTTTGACCTACCAATCGATGGAGCTTCCGATCCATCGATCGAATAAAAACTGCGCCCAAAGAGACACTCCTCCTTTCTCCGTTGGATTAACGGCTGGAACATGGTGTATGAACCTGAACGTCGACTTATCTGTCACACGGGGCAAGATGCTTTCATTTAATTTGATGAATATCGCATGAGCAAACTTTGGCTACGCACCTTTCTTTGATATAATATAATGTATGTATGTATATGTGTGTATATATATATATATATATATATGTACTTATATATACATATACTATATATACATATATTATATATATACATATATATATATAATTTTATATATATATATATATAGAAAGAGAGAGAGAGAGAGAGAGAGACAAAGGAACGATTGGTACTTTTATGATTTGTCCTAACTTTTATTATTACTCCTACGAGAAGAACTTTATAATTGAGATTACGAAAGAAGAGAGGCATATATACTTTGTATATTATAGAGTATATACATAATATACATACATACATACATATATATATATATATTCACATATATACATGGAGAAAGGAGAAGACAAGCGGAATGTATCTTTAGATATAACCCAATCCGACGTGGAAAGAAATATAAGGGGAAGGCAAGAAGAATAAAAATGAGAAGAGAAAGAGAGAGAGAGAAAATAAAAAAGAAAAAGTTAAAATAACAAAGTGAACTGATCTCGCTTTCTCATAAATATGCAACGAGCCTGTCGTAAGAATGCACAGCCCAATTATGCACGCTCCCGAAGCTGACTTTATTTTTGGCACCTTCTCAGAAGAAAAAGGGAAAGAAGGATGGAGGAAGTACGAGGAAATATGGGGTGGGTAGAGATACAAGGGAAAAATGAGAAAGAGAAAAAGAGGAGCGACAAAAGATAAAAAGAAAGAAAAGAATAAAAAAATGAAAAAATAGTAAAAAGATGAAGAAAAATTTCTTCGCTTCTCTTTTGCGATCCACTTCAATTTACCTCAACATGTTCGATGATGGGCAATTTTCGATAGGACGTAATAGCCGTAATAGCCAGTTTAATGCTGCCGATCATGCTCGTCGTCTTCTGCCGGAAGAACGGTACCGCTTTTGACGTCGGCCAGACGAAAACTCGAAAGATCTCTTCCTTGTCCTTCTAAATTTGCCTCGTGTTATACGAAACACATATATACATATCTATGTGTGTACGTATATGTGTATAAGTACAAAAGAAAGAAATAAAAAGAGACACCGAGGCTCTTATTACTATCGGCCTTGCACCATGCGAGAAGCTTTTACTCGGACGTTTATCCATTTCGCGGGAAAACATCATCGGGTTGTAATGCTTATCGAAACGTTATGCTCGTAGTCAAGCCTTAAAATTCGCTACGGTGTTGTTTTATTTTCTTATTTTTAACTACGTTGTAGAATAGATGTTTTACATGCACTGAGTATATACATATACCTATGTATATACACGTGTGTATATATAATGAGTCAATAATTATATATAACTCTTTACTCTCTTCTCAGGATGAAGTAATTTGAAATTAAATTATGCAATCGCATTGGATTAAAATTTATGTTTAATTACGTTTGAATTATAATTATTTATCCACTACGCGTGGATCCATACTACGACCTCTGTCCTAGAATATCATGTGTTGAAAATAATAAAAAAGAAAATAATAATCTGTGAAAATGAGAGCAAAATAAACAGAACATTATGTATACATTTTCTCTTGATTATTTCGTAATAGAAATGAACGAGGCACTACCTGGACTATGTGCATCCGGATGAAGATAATAAAGAAAAAAGTAACAAGAGATGCTTATCACGGATGCACCGTGAAAAAGCGTTTGAAACAGGCGTGCCCTGAATCGCATCCTTCCTTTTATGCACGATCGAATCTGTGTGTCACGATCGAAGGAACTAAGCTATCAGGGTGTTTAGTTTTTATACAGAAACGTTCCGAGGTTTATCGTGAACGAGATTGTATATCGATTGTTGTAAAATGTTATAATGTAACGCGATACTTTTGAAATTATTTTTAACACGTCCTTTTAAAAAATCGTCCTATCGAAAATGTTTTCTTTTTTTTTTTCTTCTTTTTCTTTTGGTTGACTTTAAAGAACGATATTATTAATATACGATTTGTTACAGTTCTCGGTGATTTCAATCGAGTGCCACCTGATCGATGGAATCTTTACGGAACCGACTTTAGAGCCAGGCTATAATCTTGTTACTACCATTCCACGGGGTGCAGTGGCATTGAACGTGACCGAGTTACGTCATACGCAAAATTATTTAGGTGAGTTAACGATATTACAATTTATAAACTTATATTTATCTTCTCAAAATCGTAAAATATTTTAACTTTTGCTTTCGTCTTGAACTCGATTTATGAATTAATCCGCTCAAGTTGATCGTTCCTTTCACGAACACCAAATACTCATTGCATGTAACTTGATGATTCTAATAGGGTCAAGGGGTGTGGTTGACGCTTAACGAGTAAGCAAGGTAATATCTTACCATGAATAAAGTATAAATCATATAGTTTAAATGTAATCCTCTCTTTACGATCGTTTGAGCTAAGTAACGACAAAACGACATCATTTCATCAGTAATGTTGCATCGTTTTACGTGTGATGTAAGTCATGATACAAAGATTTTCTATTAAAATTTTTCTTTCAAGTTTCTTTTCTTCATCATCGAATTAAAGATCGAAAAATGGTTATTGTCAAAAGAGCAAAAGAGGAAGAAATAAGAAAAAAGTATCTATATCGGGGAGACTATTTCTTTATTATCCTATCTTGAGATCACGAGTATCTCATCGTTGCTCGTCAAACGCCTCGACGTGTCGTCGCACATTTTAACATCGTGTATCATGTAATCTAATCCCCTTCTCGTCGACAAGCAGAACAGTAGACGACGGCTTCGTGTGTATCGCTAAATTGGATGCAGTAGTTCGTGTCACGTGGATTACATAAATCTTACGATCGTAGTCGACAAGCTTCGATTTTGTTCTTCGTTTATCGTTCGAGATCGTTGATCCCTACTCCGATGACTCTTTCATATCTCTCTCTCTCTCTCTCTCTCTCTCTCTCTCTTTCTCTCTCGTGCGCTCATACGAAATCAAATTGGAACGTTTTACTTTTCGGAGTTTGTTCCGACGGAAGGAAAAAAACATACACATACATACAAACACGAACACAGACAGAAAAAAGGAGTAGAAACCAGAATCAGATAATAAAGCTGATAATTTATGAAATCGTTATCAGCAATCAGATTGCAAAATGGGAGTTATTTACTCAATGGCAACTACAGTATCAATTGGTCTGGCGAATACAACGCAGCTGGCACAACATTCGCATACATCCGGCAGAGTTCACAAAATTTGGAAAGTTTCTCGGCTGCAGGACCATTGCACGAATCCATTGATGTTATGGTAAGGACCCTTTCGAAAACGATTTTACTTGTGCACGAAAAATAAGCAAAAATTCCAATAAAACGAGTCGATTCGAGCATTATTTATAATCCTGCCTCCGCGATAAAAATTCTTCTTCTGTTTATGTAGAAACGGAGAAAGAGAGAGAGAGAGAGAGAGAGAGAGAGAGAGAGAGAGAGAGAGAGACTATGCCAGCATGTCAAGAATTCCAAGATATTTTATGATGACCGTAGGCTACCAAGTACGAAGATCTAACTTTCGATCTTCAGAAAAATGTTCCTTTATGTCTTACCTCTCTCTCTCTCTCTCTCTCCCTCTCTCTTTCTCTCTCTCTCTCTCTCCCTCTCTCTCTCTCTCTCTATTTCTAATACTTCCCATTTTATACTCCTTTGTTCTTATATCGTTGTTCTTATATCGATGTGGGTTCATATAGGTGCTGTATCAAGAGCCCAATCCTGGTATAGTGTACCGTTATATCATTCCTGGAAGTAGTGCCAGTGCACCGAGCAACTCTCATCTCACTCGCAATACAGGTATGATTTTTTACGTAATATACGATGCATGTATGCAATTATTCCTTTCGCGGAGTAATGCGTAAAATCGCGATTAACACAAAATTATGTGTATATATACATATATATATATATATATATATATATATATATATATATATATATAATGAACGTAATTATTATCTTATTGCGAAACGAACGAATCGTGAAAAAATGATAGAGAGAATGAGAAATAAATCGAGATAAACGTTAATTTTCAGTTTTAAATAGACCGATCGAAGCAGCGCCAGCAAGTACCTCGCTCAGAAAGTAAGAACGCCACAAACTACTTTGCGGAGGCAATGTAAACGAGGTCGTCGTTAGTTCAATGTAAAATACTCCTATTGTTTGTCTCGTTTACTTCTAGAACGGACAGCGTGAACACGACGACAACTATAGACGACGTCGCAACGAACGCCTCGTACGTTCCGAAGCGATATAAGAAACGAAAATTTGCATGGAAACCGGCCGGTTACACAGAATGCAATAAATCCTGTGGCGGAGGTATCTGAAAATTATTCTAATTTATATAATAAAAATAGTAAGCATAAGATATGAGTAAAGGGAGTGAGAGAGAAAGAGAGAGAGAGGGAGTGACGAGTTTTCAAAGTTACTATAACTCTCTCTCGTCGTCTAACAAATATTGTTTAGGTGTCCAAACGTTGAAATATGCGTGTGTACGAGAACACACGCAGATTCAGGTCTTCGATAAGAGATGTCACACGTTGGAGAAACCACGAGAGGTTCGATTAAGGTGCAACACCAATCCCTGCCCACCCATGTTAGTTTTACATTTGATCTTTCTCGTATGATAATTCTGCGGTATTTTGTGAAAAACTAAGAAAAAAGAAATATAATATTATCGTTGTTTTAGATGGAGACCAACCGCATGGAATCCATGTTCAGTCAGCTGCGGTACTGGCATACGTACACGAGATCTGGAATGCGTTCAAGAGATCAGATCGACCTTAACGGTAATCGTATCCGAGGGTGCTTGCATGGAGCCAAGAAATTTACCTATCAGTGAGGTGTGCAACGAGACACCTTGCGAAAAAGCTACAAGAATATCAGAAGGACAATCCTTCAACTGGAATGTTGGATCTTGGTCCGAGGTATTCCTATTCGTTTCAATCTATTTTTTCTTTTTTTTCTATTCTTTTTTTCTCTTTTACTTTATTTTTCAACATAATTTTGATCAATCGATTGTGACACGATACTGATAATCTCTCGTTTTATCTTCCTTTTAAGTATTTATATTTTGTTATTATTTTTCAATACAGTGCTCGACAACGTGTGGGGTAGGTAAAAGAACGAGACTCGTAACGTGCGAATCACAAGAATACCTCTGTAACGTAGCGGAGAAACCAATTTCTCAAGAGGTTTGCGACTTGGGTCCTTGCACCGTGAAATTTTCTTCTATCAACGCAATTTCGTCGACCGAACAACGAGTAACCTCTCAATGGCTTTATACCGAATGGCCAGAACAGGTTTGTAAAATCGTTTATTATACGATTTCAAATAAAATCGATTTGAGTCGATGGATTACGATGATTTTCTTCAGTGTTCCGTTGAATGTGGCCTCGGCATGCAAAGCAGAAGAGTCTTTTGTGAAAAAAATTCCGAAGAGGAGTGTGATCCAACGAATCGTCCGGAATCATCGAGATCTTGTTCGAGTAACAGAACATGTAGCGGACAATGGTTTGTCGGTCCTTGGTCTGAGGTTCGTGTTCTTGTTATTAATTGTATATTTAAAGTATCATTAAACGTTAAAATTATCTAATTTAAAGAAATAATTGAAACTTTGCAGTGTTCATCACATTGTGATTTTGGTGAACAAATCAGAGAAGCCGTTTGCGTGACTATACTCCGTGGTGCTCTTCGCGTCGTCCTCGATATGAATTGTCCTGCGAATAAGCCAGAAACAAGAAAATCTTGCAGAGGTGCTCCTTGCTCGTTTGCTTGGTTTACGTCCGATTGGAGCGAGGTTGGTCATTTTTTATTTTTTTCTTTTTCTTTTTTTGATTGTTCGAAAAAAAACGCTTGTATCCGACTAACGTTTTTTCGTTGTTTTTAAGTGTTCCCGATCCTGTGGTAAGGGTATACAAAAGAGAGAAGTCAAGTGTTTGTCACCGGAAAGTCAACCAAACGAGTATCATGAAGTAGTTCATTGTGACGAGGACGATCGACCAGTTTCTCGACGAACTTGCAATGATTATTCTTGTAAAAATGATACTCACGGTTCTGATAATGTACCAAGAGTGTCGCAAATTCAAGACGATTCAGAGATATATAATGGTATGGTATTTTTTTTATATTATTATATTCATTGACGATCAATTGATCTCGATTAAATTCATTATTGCATTTGTTAGAGAAAAATATCTATTTTTCTTTTTTTATATTGAATTTTTATTCTCGAAGATCAAATTGTTCCAGGTCTTGAAGAGAATTCATTCTGCAAGGACAACATACCAAATTGTGCTTTGGTAATTCAAGCTCGTCTTTGCACTTATCAATTTTATCAACGATCATGCTGTCTTTCTTGCTCTAGAGCTAAACACGAACCGGAATGAACGGATAATTGCAATTTAAAAATATTAAATTTATAAATAATTCAGCGAAAAATAAGCAGGAACGAAATTGTTTAGAGAAATTTGTTAATCATTAATGAATTTCAGCAATTCCATGTTAAAGTATGATAATAATTCATGCATTGGCGAAACATGATAGTTATCAATATTCCGTCTTCCAAGCACGAAAACTTCGTAGTTTTTAGTAAAAAAATGCTTTATACGTTTACTTAGTGGCTTAATCATAATCCATTGTATTTTTGTCAAAACGTGCGATTTCACGCTAAGGACGAAACATTAAATGACGCTTTTCAACTGTCAATTGACGATCCTTATGACGTTGCAAATTCTTCATACATACGAGTGACTAATACTTTTCGTATGGCGTGACTGAAACGTGTACACGTAATGTAATGTTCGAACACGTTTAAACGAAATAATATATATATATATATATATATATATATATATATATATATTATATCGTGAAAGAATATTCCAGAATAATTGCACCTAATTTAAAATGATGATGAAAATCAAAATGTGACGTTACACTACTTTTTCTTTTTTTTTTTCTTTGTCTTTTTTCTCTTTCATATATCTAATCCTTAGTTGTATTGTTTATTAATAAATTAAAAGACAAGCTGCTTCGAATATTTTCAAGAAAGAAAAGATAACACAAATGTAGGATAGAACAATCCTACGAGGTGAATATTACAGTATTATATAATGACGTAATTAATATATATATATATATATATATATATATATATATATATATACACATACATATATATATACACATATATATACACATATACACATACATATATATATACACATATATATACACATATACACATATATATATATACACATATATATATATATATATGTACACATATATGTATGTATGTATGTATGTATGTATGTATGTATGTATGTAAGTATGTATGTTTATATGTATGTATGTATATTAACAATAAGACGTGTGTTAAAGATTTAACCAACTATTTACAATGTTAGCGCGTTACGGAAAAGTATTCACACCGTTGCATCGTTATTATGAAATAAATTATATACACACGTACACGAGCATACAAAAAACCCAGACATACCGTCATATCAATGGATGATATACAAAACTTGATGAGACCATTATCTCCTACTTAAAAAATGATTAAGTTCACGTTTATCTCGCTCGATGAAGTTATGCGTTTCGTTTTTTTTTCGACAGTTTTTCTTAGATAACTTTAATGCGCGGATGACTCGATGACATCGTACGCCTCCTTTTTTTGATTAAGATTAATAGCTATGAATATAAAAGGATAAGAGCGATGAATTATCGACATTATTCTTTTATCAGATAATTCGAATGTTACGTTAAAGCAACGTTACTATCTATGTTCTCTTTCGTTGAAACGGTACCGTTATCGTGATTCTTATAAGCAGAGAAAAATGCGAGAGCCTTCATCAACTGATAACTCTTGCTGATTGGAATATTGCTGTCGTAGAGATTTTTCGAAGCTGGACAATCGACGTAGAACCACCAGTTACATTTCAGGATCGTTTGATCGAAAAGAGTAGACTCGGGACACAAGAAGCTCTTCATGATCAAGCCGTCATCGGTTAATGCGCATACATGGAAGACCTAAATGAAGTGATCGTTAATTGAATCGATCAGGATTTAATAAAGAAAAAGAGAGAGAAAAAAGGGAGAGAGAGAGAGAGAGAAAAGGGAGAGAGAGAGAGAGAGAGAAAAAAGGGAGAGAGAGAGAGAGAGAGAGAGAAAACAAAACAAAAAAGAAAGAAAAAATATTTACCATACATCCTAAATCCTCATCGGCGTAAAGACCTGGAAAATGTTTCTGATCGCCACAGTAGAAACTGGTATCAGGTAGATCAACCCGACTTGCAAAATTATCGTCAAAGTTTTTATCGTATCCTATGGGATAATATTCGTGTGGAGCGTTCATTACTTTCGTAGCACCAGAATTACCGTATTTGCTGAGAAATAAAGTTATTTTAATCCGACGAAAATTAAGTAATTAAAAATAATTATAGGGGCTTGTTAAAGTAAATACTTTTTAACGTGGGGCGAAAGAGTCGTCGTAGTTGTCGTCGTACTGGTCGTGCTGGGTCCCATCTGTTTCTGCATAAGTTGTTGTTGTCTCAAAAGGATAGCTGCCTCTAACGCTTCGAGCGTTATGTTACTTGCTTCGGCTAATGCTTTCAAGGATGTTTCCATTCCTTGAATCGGTGCTAATGAAGGTAAGGAAGCTGGTAACGACTGTCGTTTCTCATTTTGTTGAAGAGGTAAACTTTGAGCCTGTTCAGCCGTCACGATTGGTTGCAAAGAGAGTAAAGTCATTTTATTCACAGAGGATGCAGCTTCTTCGCCTGGCAACGGAAGCTAAGAGAGGAACAAGTATATATTCTTCTTATTAACCATATAATTTACGATCGTTCTCAAGATTCCATAGTGTGTAATACCTGATTATAGTCATCCTTAGATACTTCATTATCAGAATCAGCGCTATTGCTGATCCTATCAGTAAGTCTGGAAGACGATTGAGGCATGGCGATGAAAGGTGGTAAGCCGTTGCCAGTCGTGGACGTGAGTGCCGCCGAAACAGGTTTTAAATGATCGGATTGTACCATATTCGTTATCGCTGGGACGACACTAGGAGCCTTCGTTGTCGTTGCTATTGCGATCGCAGCCTGTTGAAATTCTAAGAATTAACATGATTCCAAAATAATTTCTATTTTTAACAATGGAAGATGAAAAATTTACCTGTATCCTCTTAGCTTGCATCGCAAGTAACTGTTGTTGCTGTTGAGCCATCATCTGTTGCTTCTGTTGCTGTTGCTGCTGATTCAACAACTGTTGTTGCTTGTATTGTTGCTGCATCTTTTGTATATGTTGCTGACGCATCGCTTCCTGTTGCTGTTGTCTCTGTTGCTTCAATACTTGCAAGGCAAGAGCCTCCTGTTGAAGCTTTTGCTGCTGCTTCAACTTTGCCTCCTGTTGTTGCTGATACTTTATCATATCTTCTTGTGTACCCAAGGATGGAGCGGCGACCGTTCTAAGAGCCGTTGAATTTTGTTGAACTACCAATCTTTGATGTTCAGATTGCTGACTTATTGGACGACTCATCCCTGGCAGAGGCTTGAAAGGAGGTACGACCTGTCTTGCTTTTTGTTGATTATCGTTCCGATTTGTGGCCTATGAACGTACATACGTTGATAAAAAAAAAGTTCAACGTTTTTAGATCACTTTGCGAGAAGCTTCATTATCGATAAACTTAGGAACCCTAATTACATTAAAGTAATTTTACATGTAAGTTATACATTAAGTATAGAATCGACATTGGACAAGTGCCTTCGATCATTTTTCTCCTGTCGAAAGATCACGAGATAGAAAGTATTCCGACTCGACGAGTATATATTATAAGTCAAATAAGGGAACTTCACAACAAATTATACAACTCTTACGAAAAGGTCATTTTTTATAATGTTTCGCTTAAGAAAGGCATCGTTTCATTTCATTTCGAATAATGAATTATTCATTTCTAGTTATGTTCGAATTCTCTTAACGAATTGTACACACATATTCAAATTCTCATGCCTGTAAATTGAGTGAACATACGTGAACGAAGCTATATCGACATTCACGCACCAATTACTACAAGGTCGATCTGAGAATGTGTAAACACATACTTAGATACTTGTACGTTGTATCTTACAACATGAAGGAAATAGAAAACAATTTTATACGTCTTTACCAATTTTTGTAAATTATTATTGTCGAATTAATTTTCTTTTTTTTTTTTTTAATCCTCGTAAAAATTACATACACGAAAGATTAAGATTCGATGAAAATCAATGATATCAAGTTTTGTGTTCTCAGTAGTTTTCCTGGCTTTTCATATCATACATAAATGATAATGAATGTAATTGATTTGACTCTGTGGAAGTACACAGAATGACATTAAAGTGAGAATTGTGATAGCCGTGTTACGCCACAACAGAGAGGAATATATATTAAACATACACACGTTCTTTAAGTTACGAAGAGGAAAAGACGAGTTCGAACGGTTTAAAGTTGCTATTTCTTTCTCGTTAAAAGCTAATTTCCAAAGGTGGAACAAAGATTTACACCTAATCACAACGATTTATGCGTTGACAAATGCAGTTACTTATTTATTTTCTTTTCTCTCTCTCTCTCTTTTTCTTCTTTTATTCTTTTTTCTTTTTAAGAAAAATGATCTTTGCTTTACATAACGTTTTAAATTAAATGTAATATAACGTGAAATCGTCATGGAAATGACTCGATGGGATTTTGTAACAAATAATCATGGATTTAATTAAGAAGATATGATTCTTACCACGTTTGTGGAATCAACAGAAAGACCAGTCTTTCCTGTTTGTACGCTTCTTCTTCTTGCACTTTCCACATTCGATAGGGACTCCCTAAATCCTAGTTCATCACCTACCGTGAATCCTGCAAGATAAACAAAAATAAAGAAAAAGAGAGGGAAAATTTGTCGAAGAAAAGTATTCCTATAGTTTTTCATGTTAATACATAAAACGATTCGTAACCAGCTGATAGAAAGAAGTCGGGTAGAAGATTATTCCGTATATCCCAAACCGTAGAAACATTAGACAAGCAAATGTTACATCACGTTTTAACGATCTTTTATGGGATTCGTTTTGCATGAATAATAATATCCTCTTTTATTTTTTTTTTATTTTTCCTCTTTTTCTTCTTCCTTTTTTTTGTCGAAAAAATGATCTAGTAGAATAACGAGAAGCTTGCTCTCTTCTCAATAACTCGGTCAAGCCAATGTAATGAATAAACCATTTCCATAATCGCTTTTTTCTTTTTTTTTTTTATGTTTGCGAATGCGAGATTGAAGTAGGTTAGAGGGCAACGGCTGTAAACTTGCAAACTGAAAGTTGCAGGTGCGTTTCACGCTTGTACCTATGTAAGTACGTACCTACAGTATATATGTATGTATACATATATATATATATATATATATATATATATATACATATATATACATATATGTATACATATATATATATATATGTATACATGTACATATTACAGTGGTTATGTTCATAGCCTGAAAATGCATGCTTTTACACTCGACTTGCTGTATCATACGCATCTTGATGAAGTGCCACTTGAGTTACGCTCGCTCACTTCCTATAAATTTTCGAAAGTTTTCCTGATTCGAGCTAATTTTATTTTATAGAATCTAATTTTATTTTTTCTTTTTTTCTTTCTTTCATTGTTACACCGTTAATCATCCTTTAATAATGACGTAACACGAATGATTTATATGTATGATATATGTATTACTTTTTAGCAATATTATGTCTACCTTTTTCCGGTGAATTCGTTCGACCGATCTCTGTAATTTCGCTGCCACGTGAAATTTGTGCACGTAAGATATCGAAGAAAAAATGAAATAATATCGTTCGTTGCGATATATGTATACGACAAAGAGAAAGAGTTACGATTCAAACTTTCTACGTCTATCATCTTGTCGTTGGTTGAGTTAAACGCGTAACGACGATTATTTATGAATTCTTGATGATTGATGTTTCGCAAATATCATACAAATCTGAGAGAATCAAAAAGAAAATGTCGACACGGTGATTAATTCTTGTGAGATATTAGTAATAAATATTACGTATATATGTGTATATATAAAGAAAGGACTTCATATGAAATTGTTTTTCTCTTAATAATTCAACGTAAAGAAGAAATGTAAATGAAGAGAAGAAAGAAGAAAGAAAACAAAATAAATGAAATCCAACATTTTTTCGATAAAATATAAATAAAACCAAAATCTTCAATCGTACGCCATCTCGACGTAATACGTAAGATGATCTTTCAAACGCGGTACAAATCATCGCGTTGAAAAGAATAAAAAAGAAAACATTATATAAAACGAAGATCTGAGGTAGATCTGGATCGATGAATATCGAAAAGAAAGAACCTCAATTGTCGGATTGATTCATCGAATATCGATGCGAACGATCGACGTTTCCACTCACCCAAGCCAAGGAAACCTTTGACACCTCCGAGGTTTCGTACCCGGAAGAGGCCAGATTTTTTGAAGGCGCAATTAAGCGCAAAACCAAAGTCGGATTGAAAGACGCATGTGCCTAGCGTAGCCCGCCACGTGCAGCCTGCAACCAAATTGGAAGAAAACTTGACGGATCCCCTGATATTTAAACTCAAGCGAGATCCATACTGATCAAAAGTATTTTCTTTCATTGAATATAGAAATTTTAACAACTTTTTCATCTGTGCTATTGATCCTCCGTCAGTTGAATTTGTAAAGTCGAGTCTAAAAGTATTTCATTATTATTATTTCAACAAGTTTTCTCTTTTTAACCGTCGAATCGTCGTTGGTTTTAATAATAGAAAAGGCAAACGATCTCTCTCTTTCTCTCTCTCTCTCTTTCTCTTTATTTCTCTTTAATATCTCTTTCACCTGTTTAAATTTAACCGCTGAACAACGAACAAATAGAAGCACAATCTTCTTTACCTTAACAAATTGCCATGAAGGATTAGTAGTTTCTTAAATTGAGATCGGGATCTTCATTTACCGTCTTACTGCTATTATCGTTCGTAGACGTGCAATAATGTTTTTGACGCGTTCTACCGTTACACGGACAGTTAGACGCGAGCACGAAGAATCAGAAATTACAGTTAAGAATCGCGACGATCGTCTCGATGTGGATCCTTAGACACGGCCTAGACAACACTCTCAGAAATTTTTCATGAACTTTACGCTAAAAGCCAAAGTGTTCCTTCGGAACGGAGATATGTAACTTGGCTTTAAAGAGAACATTAACAAAAAGAAAAAAAGAAGAGAATAAAGAAAACAAAAATAAGTTATTTTTATCTCTTTATGGAGATACAAAAAAATAATCTTTTTTTGTATAACAAAAAAAAAATTAACAAATTTTTTCTGATGTAACATGAACGCATCCTCATAGTTTGGTATTTAATCGGCTTATATGTACTATTTGAGGGTATAACGACAAAATTTTTAATATTTTATTATCAAAATAAAAACAATCGCTAGAGTATTATTTCTTATCGTTAATTATTTCTTAATAGAATATTTTTGGTTTAGCTAATAAGTAATGTCGGAATTCTCAATAAAATGTATTATTTTTGCTGGTTCGAACATTATTGGTTTTTACTAAGAATGTCGACATTACTAATTGACCAATTCATATATAAACGTTATAAGCAAAAATACTTGTTGCAAACTCTTTGCGTATTACATTGTTATGATAAAAAACATCATTTTAGATATTAGGAGAGCATGAAAAATCTGCCGGATTTCGAACGAAATTTTCCGGAATTCATTGAAACCAACATTCGGATTCCGGATCGAAGGTACGTCATTGTGTCATAGCCTAGTGACACACTTAGTATCTGACTAAACGTTTACATGTTAACCGGTCGCTGTAGATTAATGCTGCAGTATATCGAAACTACTTTCCTATCGTCAAATAATAAAATAGACATAACAAGTTCGTCGAATACTATCGTTCATTCGATGAAAACGCATCTTGGTTGCACTTTCGCTACTACCAGCTGAATACGATAGTTTTGCGAATGAGATCTCCCCAACTCTCTTCTTTTTATCTCGTACCTTGAGCCACAAGTACTTTTTGCATCTTTTCGAAAAACGAAAAGATAAATAGATAGTTAGAAAATATATAACGGGACTAACTCAACTTTATAGGTAATATACAATATACAATATACATATATAATATACATATACATATATATATATATATACACATATTAAAAATATACATAACTACACGTTATATTATTTTCAAATATGAGAAAGACAGAGAAGAAGAAGAAGGAAAAGAAGAAGAAGCGAGATCGATCAATGAAAAAGATTAGTTCCCTTAAGAGATTTAAAAAATCGTACGAAACACCGAGAAAATGTTACAAGATTTCAATAAGCACAGAGAGAAAGTCTATTCGTGATATTGTTAAACGTATTATTATATTCTCACAATAACAGTTTCTCTTTATTATGAGGTATCGTTATCTTATCAATGAAAAACTATTTAATCGATAGTTTCACATATGCAAATATATAGATATATTTTTCATTCTTTTCTTCTCCTCGCTTGACAACTTTAATCTTCATCATATCTAATCCTATCTAATTTTCGGTAGATTATATTACATACCTAAGAAATGAAAATATATAATTACTTTTAAAACGAACGAAAGGATCGTGCCATTTATAATCTATAATTTTCATTAAGTCAATATACCTTTCCCCTACAACATATACGTGTAATTCTCTATCAGTGTTTATGGCGGTTTACTCGCTTTCTTTCTTTTTCTTTTAGTCCCCTTTCGTCCCATATTTTCTCTCTCTCTCTCTCTCTCTCTCTTTCTCTTTCTCTCTCTACATCTTATGCCAATGAATTGACTTCTGCGTCCGATGAAAATCGATATTCTTGCACTTTCTAGTTTACCTGCATCGATGCGTAAATTCGTCCTTATGATACTTCTATTTTCCCCTTCGATGATTCCTTTCTCACAATTGAGTCGTTTCGATCGCAAAACCGATAATATTCCACTTACTATACGGAGTACATCATGTAAACAAGTGAAGAGTGAAAACGAACTGATATTTTTCATCAAAACACAAAAAAGAAAAAAGAGAGAAAAATATCTGTTTCGATGTATCTAAAAAACTATATATATTTTTTTAAATATCTTTATTTTTAAATAAAATATTTTTTTTATGTCTTCTCTTAATGCCTAATTCTTTTAAATATCAATGTGTGCATATAAGAAAGAAAGAGAAAACATTTTCGAATAAATGATATATCTATCTTTAGTTAATATCATTTAATCGTAATTATTTATTATTCGTAATTATCTATTATTCGTTTATATTCGTTTATATTCGTTTATATTCGTTTATATTCGTTTATATTCGTTTATATCCTAATCGTTGCATGTATGTATATATATATACATACACACATACAAAATTGGAAGGCAAAATAATTAGTAAAAGTAAGAAGATAGAAAGAGAAATAGAGATAGCGAGAAAAATAGAAAAGTTATTAATTATTGATGGTCAGAAGAGCGAGCAGTGCGTTCGGTCAATGTGTAAGTTGAGAGTCGATAGCACAGAATCCAAAATTTACAGAGACCCCTAAACCTGACAACTACCCCAAGTATAAGTTATCCTAATAAACGTCTTTACAATGTAGATATGAAAGTATGTTACAGATTTACCGTTCGATGATTTAATTTATTGTAAACATATTATACCACAATCGAAAACTTTTCAATTTCATTTATGTATCTATCAAAATATTTACAACTTATGTTTTTATCAGTAATTACTTTCCTACCTTTTCATAATTATGAAATATATTTTTAAAATGATTTAATTAAAAAAAAATAAAAATCTAGAAGAATTTAATTGATTATGTTTTTTCCGTTACTTCGATTGGCATTATAATAATGTAATATATATATATATATATATATATATATATATATATATATATAATATATGACTTAAACCACTTTTATAATTGGAAAGCTTTCGAATCAACCAAACGTTTGCAAGTAAATAATATTTAAAAATAAAATATCGATTTGATTTG